AATTTGAAACAAAGTTTAGGCAGTCACAATATTACAAATTTACGAAAATATTATGTTTTATTTTTCTCATTAATACCGTATTTATGCATCAGTTGATTTAATGCAGATGCACAGATAATAAAAGGAGAAGTATAAGTGTTTAAATATCTGCATATGCATAAGTGTTTCGAGTATTATCGTAAGTCGTGAATTTCACATCGCTGTATTTCAAAAACGAAATAATTCTAACATCTATGCACAATGTCTGCATATTAACCTTAAGATCATTGTGATTCTTCGTCGGAGTCTTATTTTCAATTTAGGAGATATTAAAACTAGAAAATAAAAGAAACAAATACGTTAACCTTAAGGAACACATGAAAGTTTTAGTTGCATCTGTCAACTTTAGTTGCAAATATCTCAGCTCTCGAATGGACAATCTCTTCCTAATTGCGGAAAAGCGGTTAGATAAATATTTCAGCGCACACGTAGCGTGAGTTCCATCGAATTCTTATCAAACTCATTTCGCCTTGCAACCTCCTTAATTCACGGCAAGTCACCTTCGCCCGCGTGCGCGCTCCGAATTCGTGTTCCTGCGAGCCGGGCTCTTCCGTCGCGCGCACGGAGGGGAAAGAAAGAGAAAGAGAGAGAGAGAGAGAAAGAGAGAGAGACGTGGGAAACAATAGAGGGAGAGAGGGACTCTAATCTGAAGGGCACTGGATCGAGCGCTTCTTCTTCGGCATTGTCTCCTCTCGGCGAACCCTTTACTCCTGTGCCGCGCCTTTTCTTCGCTCCCCACCGGCCTTTTCCACGACCCTAAGAGAGTTTCGTACTACGAGGGGCTGCCGCCGGTGGAACTGTTACCGTAGATAGTCCCTCTTCTCGACGTTATCCTCATGCCTCGGTAAGCGCGCAAAGGAGTGACGGAAAACGGAGGGAGGGAGGGGGGGAAGGAAGAGAGAGAGCGAGAAGAGCGAGACAGGGAGGAAGAGAGAGCGCGGGGGATTTTTATTTTTCTTAACGAGGACGCGCACGAGGTGTTTGCGACGTTCGAACCATCTCAGCTGAAAAACGAAATTCCATAGCCGAGCGACGTGCGGTACGCGAGAGCTTAGTTTCCTGCCGTGGTGAATTTTCCGCTCTCTCTCTCTCTCTCTCTCTCTCTCTCCCGATCTCTTCGTGCTCCGTGCTAACGATAATTGTAGCAACGATTATTAGCGTGGCCGGTAGATTCGCGACAATCGTCGCAGTTGGAGATAGTCACAGCGAACTGTGGCGTTTTCCGGACTGAGAACCGGGGCTCTATAATGCCCGTTTCTACCATCACGGTCTAAATCTAATCGACAATTATCTTGACGGAATGAACCGTTCGCATTAATCAGTACAGCTAATTGGCCGGTGTGATTGGTCAATTCCGTTGAGTCGATCGTCGATTAGACTTAAACCATGATCGTAGAATCGGACGCAAGTCGCCAAATCGCGTAACCTTCGGTTTAATTTCAGGCGGTTTCTAACTCGACGGAGTCTCAATCTCGAGCTTAATTATCCGGAGGAAGATATACGATATTGAAAGTTGAACTTCGTAAGAAGAACGGGAGGTTCTTCGTGGGAGATAATTATCCGCGTCGGGGAAAGCCCGTCGTCGCGCTTGAGCTCATAAATGGCGGGACGCTTCGTAGCCCGGCGGTAAACGCGAGGCTTCCCTCGTCCTGCGTTAAGGACTCGCGTTCCCCCGGACGAACTGCGTCTCGGAGAGAGACGCGAGACTCTGGACGGGATCGAGTGTCTCGGCGTTTCTTCAGCCCTCGCACGCCCAGGAAACCGGAGAAACGTCGCTTTCTTCGCGCGCTTATGCGACGCAGAATTCGCGAATCCCGCGCGGGGAGAGTCGCGCTGATTGAAAGAGGGTGCCCTCATAGCGCCGAGGGAGCGAGAGAGATGCACAGAGAGAGAGAGAGAGAGAGAGAAAGAGAGGGAGAGAGGGGGGGACAGAGGGGAAGGGAAGGCAACAACGACGACGAGGAGGCGACCGACGACGACGACGATGGCAGCGTGGTGGCGAACATGGCGTCCGGAAAGCGAAGCCGTGCGAGGCCGAGGTCGCGGCTGCGCCTCCGACCGACCGCGTGACCACGATCAATACCTGTAGGCGCGCGGCGCGCTTCGCCGTCGCGGCGCTTCGGCGTCGCCGTCAGCGTCGTGCCGCGCTGCCGCCGCGCCGTGCCGCGCCGCGCACCGCGCACCGCGCCGGAGACGAAGGATGTTGAATTCGAAAAGTGTTATTCCGCGCGTCTATCTCTGAATGATATGGAAGGGAACGCCTCTCCACGTGGCTGCCACGTGTGCGCTTCCGTTTCGCGCGCGCGCTCGCTCTCTCTTCCTCTTTCTCTCTCTCTCTCTCTTTCTCGCGCGCGCGCGCGTTATCTTTCGCGCGTGTCCCCGAAACATTCTGCACGATCATTCTCTGTCTTTCTCTCTCTTCCTCCCGCGCAATTTCCTCCCCTCCCTCTCTCTCTCTCTTTCTCTCTGTACCCATCTGTCTATTTCTCTCTCTCGTACCGTATCGTACCGTCCCGTCATGTCCTCGTCCCCCGTCGGGGGCCCGCAGGAAGCGCGCCGGGCCCGTCACTCTCTCTCACGATTCTCAGCGAGAAATCGTCCTCGGGGAAATGTACGTGGCGGAATAGTCTCGGACGTGTAACCGCGCGTCATCACGTCGACTGATCGGTGCATGCTTCCCCGGGATTAATTGGCGCTTGCTTTCTTCTCGCGAAACACACTATTCGCTCTGCACCCCTCTCGCAATTCACCCACGCCATCTGAAATTCGGACTCGCGGGAAAAAATTGTTCGATTGATTATTTCCGAATCTACAGCTCTCGCTCGGCAAAATTGGCTAAGCAGATTGGCTCGTACGTCGTAAACAAAAATACACCGGGATTGTTGACCGCTCATGAAACAAACCTAATTTGTTGATTCTGTCTCGGTTACTGCGGAAAAAGATATCGTATTTCGAAATAGTATGAATTTGCGAAGAAAAGAGTTATTAGTTTATATTAAAAAATTGCGCACTTATTCGGCGAATAACGAGAACGTTTTCTTCGTTTCTTTTTTTTTTACGCGGGTGATTTAATTCCTCACATCTCTTATTCAATTTTATCGGGCATTTTATATTAGTAAGTGATATTAGCGTTATCAAACACGATTACGACACAATTTTATACGCCGAATTTTACATATCGACACACGACACAATTTTTTCGTTGTGGCATCGAATATTTTTTTCCTTTCGTGGGGAGTTTGTAGATTTCGGGTAGTTTGTAGATTCGGAACTTCGAGTTTCGCATCGCGCGGATTATCGGGATGTGTCGAGTCGTTGTAGATTTAACGTCAGTGGGTAGTTGTTTTTTCTTTTTCTCTGCCATTTTATTAGGGGGACGAAAGCGATACGAAGATGTAATTAAAGTGCACGCGTAAATCTTTCGGACGGATCCTGAGCGATCGATTGCAGGATGTAATCGAGATAATCCCTGGCGCGTTAATAAAAATGAAGAATATCGCGTTTTCACCGCGAATTCGCGCTATCGGGGGATGAAAATGGAGAAGCGCGGAAATTTATACAATTCGATCGCGGTTTCGAGATCGCTCGTCGATTTTATTTAGAAGATATCGAATCAAATGTAATCCCGAATTGCTCGGCGCGTAGCGAGCAGCTCGGAGATGGTTTATCCGCCTTTTCCTCATTCAAGAGAAAGAAAGAGACGGAGTGTCATCGAACGGGGGGTGTGGTTTGTTTTGAATCGAAGGATATCGGCGGCGAAGGACGCAACTCGATCGAGATGCGATTTTTCGCGCCGACACGCGGAAACAGGACACCCTCCGGTATCGCGCTCAACTCTAGGTGGAAGGGGAGAGGGGAGGGGGGGAAGGTGAGAGCAACCCTTCCGTGCAGTCACTCCGAAAGTATTTCACGTATTTCGGAAGTCACTTCCGTGATCGTTTCCGACGTCTCTTTCTTTCACTCGCACGGATTTCGCCTCGCGATTTCCTGCGACTCTCACACACGGAGTCGCTCTGACGAAGCAGCTGGAAGTCGCAATTGGAGAAATCTCGACTTCTCCGATGTTACTTTCCGCCTCCCCATTCTCTCGCTTCGTTCGTTATCAACAGTCGCATGACAACAAGTGCGGGATGAGACCGAGCATCCTCTCGTCTTCCTCATCTTCCTCGCGTCCGAATTCCCAAACTTTGCCCGAAACTACCCCGAACACTGTCGAAGCGAGGGAGCACCCTTCCTCGGGATCCCGATGAGCTCTCTTTCGCACTTTGGGGGATCCGAGGCAACGATTTGGGAAAAGCGCGCGTTACGAACGAGCCGGCGTGCCGGGGCCGCCGGGGGCCACCCGGAGGATCTATGTGGCGCGATCGTGCGGATCTACGTCTCGGTGTCAAGGACGCACAGGACGAGAACACAGGCGAGCAGCGAGGCACGTGTGTGTATGCAAGTGTGTGTGTGCATGTGTGTATGTACGAAGCATGAGAGATACACGAGGCTGTGCACCGTGTCACGGGTGTACGCACGTTTTTCGTGTATGCGTTCTCCTCTCTCCCCTACGTGTACGCATGGTGCGAGAGATTCAAACACGACGATGACGATGACGACGACGACAACAACAACAACGATGACGACGACGACGATGACAACACGACAACGTCGATCGGAGCCCGGGGTGGTTGTTATGCTGTTTTGTTTTTTTTTTTTTTTGCGCTCTTTTTCTCGTTTCTTTACAGAAATGGAAAAAGACTCACGACTTAGCGTGCGTTTCCGTACACATTATACTCCGTATATCGTCGTAGAGAGGTGAGACATTTTTTGTTTTTTTTTTTTCCGAGAGTGTTACACACGAGTTGGGGGGTTTCTCGGGGGGGAATTTCTGTAAATGCTTGAGAGTAAAACGATTGAGAAGTCGGGTGGTGAGAATCACACTCTCCGAGTCGAGCTCTGAGTCGCGGACGACTAACCTGCTAGCCGCAAGGCCGACATTCTCTGTATCTCGGGCTCCTGCAGCCACTTCCACATCCGCCGGAAGGTCTCTCGGCCGCTCTTGAGCTTGGACCAGGGCTTCGGGTTGCGCAGCAGGTCGCTGAGCGTGCCCTGGCTGCGGCAGAGCACACGCTGCGCGAAGATCGCCTGCGGTATGCTGTACCTCTTGAGCTCCGCGCTGATCCGCTGCGCCAGTTCCTTCGTGTTGATCTCCTCGACCTCGCCGGCGCCGTTGCCCGCGGTCGTCACCGTCTTCATCACCACCGACGTGTGTTGCACGTGCTGCGTGTGCGATATCGTCTGCTGCAACATCGACTGCTGCTGCTGCTGCTGCTGTTGCTGCTGCTGCTGTTGCTGCTGCTGCTGTTGCTGCTGCAGCTGCGTCTGCATCGGCGGCGGCGAAGCAGCCGGCACCGAGTGCGTGGGCGGCGAATGATGCGATGGCGCGAAACTCGCGGTCGCCGAGACGGCCGGCGGCGAAGACGGACTTAGCGCCGCCGGGCTCTGCTGCAGTCTCGGCAAAAAAGCCGGGTCGTAGTGAGGACTGGCGGACTTGTGCGGTGAATTGAGGCCGCTCTGGCTGTACGCGCTCTGCGGCGACAGCGGACTCGGCTGCAATCCCGCGCCGGGCGAAGGATAGTTGTGCGGCGGCGACATACCCATGGTGGGTAGCTTGTCGTACGCGTACGGCGAGCCGCCCATACCGAGGCCGATGTTACCCAGGCCGTTGTTCTGCATCACGGCGAAGCTGCCGGTGACGCCGCCGGCAGCGTGACCGCCGTACACGAACTTGTCGCTCATGGTGGAGATCGGCGGTAACGGCTGCAGCGGCGTCAGAGTCGCGTACGACGAGCCCGGACTGAAGCCGGGCGGCGACATCCTCTCCGCGACCGAGGTCAGTGTCTGATACGTCGGCTCCGGCTGCATCGCCCTGAAGTCCGTCGCGTCGATCATACTCGCGACCGACACGCTGATCCCCGAGGTCGGCGTTAGCTTGCCCGGACTGAGCAGCTCCGAGTCGGCGTCGCGCGAGTCCACGTCCACGTCCTGAGGCGGCACGATCACCGACAGGGACTCCCGCGCGCTCTGCCTGCCACCGCCGCCACTACCACCACTGCCACTACCGCCGCCGCCGCCGCCACCACCGCTGTTACCGTTGTTGCTGTTGCCGTTGCCGTTGCCGCCACCGACGGCGCCTCCGCCGCCGCCGCCGCCACCGTTACCTCCGACGCCGCCGCCGCCACCGCCGCCGCCGCCGCCGCCACTACTATCACCGCCGCCACCACCACCGCCGACGCTCGGCGGTTCCTGGGACGACGACAGGTCCTCCGCGGCGGCGAGGTCTCGCTCCTCCTTGACGCCGAGCGCGCCAGCAGCGAGCAGTTCCAGCGGTAGGCTCGCGCACGCGATGTCGGGGCTTTGAGAGGCCGACGAAGACATACCCTCGACGCTACCTCCTCCGTTGCCACCACCACCACCACCACCTCCTCCTCCTCCGCCGTTACCACCCCCGCCGCTCCTACCGCCCGTCGCTTCCACGACGACCTCGTGCTGATGCTGCTGCTGATGGTGATGATGGTGGTGGTGGTGGTGGTGATGATGATGGTGGTGGTGGTTGTGATGTCTACCCCCACCGACCACGCTGCCCCTACTTCCGCTGTTACCACCTCCTCCTCCGCCACCGGCACAGTTCCCATTCGAGCCGCCCCCACCGCCGCCCCGGCCATGCGTAGACACCGCCGCCGGGGAATCGACCGGGTCCAGTAATTGCTCGCTATGCGGTTGATGATCGGCTATGTCCCCTATACCTTCCATTTACGCACATCTAGTTCGGGTGGGCGCACTGCCGCACTCGCTGCTGCCGCCGCGTGCTCCGCTGTCGTCGAGACACCGCGCGCGCGCGCGCGTTCCGCACCGAATGTTAACGCACCGCACCGTCACGCACTCACCGACTGTTTCTCTCTCTCTATCTCTCTTGGGTGTTGTACCGTCTTCTCTCACCTCTGTTTACGTCGACGGGGCCGCACGTCGCCGCGAGAGGGTGCTACGACGAAAACCACCCTATGTCCACTGATCACGCCGTCACTGCTGGCTACGCTGCCGACGGGCGACGTGGTAACGCGAGGACGACTTCGCGAGAGCGCGCCTTCGGGAGCGCAGGACGAGCCGGCCGCACGACGACGACGCAGATGATGTTAACGCTGCGCCACCACCTCCGCCACGTCGGATCGGCATAGGGACCCGGTAGCGCAACGACCACCGTGCGCCCATGACACACGCGGAGCGAGTGAGAGCGCACGCTCCGCGCCCGCGAGAGTGCGAGCGCACCGGCGGAACGAGAGCGCGTACCTACAAGAGAGAGAAACGGTGAGGAGCCCGGGGGAGTGCCGCGAGAAGGGGGTCGTTCTCTCGCTCCGTCTCTCGGCCGCTCGCTCGTTTGCTCGCTAGTTTGTTCCTTCGTTCGTTCGCTCGCACACCCGGTACGGGACACCGCTCCGCCCCCTTCCCCTAACGGTCCCTACCCCGACGGTGACTACCCGTCACTACCAGCAGCACCACTGCCACCTGGTCCGCCGTCCTATTACGCTATTACCGCTACTCGCACGGCGGTGCCGCTCGCTTTCCCTCTTTTATCTCTCTCTCTCTCTTCCTCTCGTCTTATTCTTCCGTTTCTTCGTCTTCCTTCGCCGCCTCGTCGTCGGCCGTCCCTCGCTCGGCGCGCGCGACAGAGAGGGATGCGGCGAGTCGCGCGCGTGCCGCGCGCGCGTTCCTCTCCTGGTCCAGGTGCGATCGCGTCTCGATTCTCCCCCGTCTGTCTTTTCCTCGATACCCCCTCCCTCCTCACCCCGCCACGTGTCTGACGGTTCGTATGTTCGCTCGCGAGGAGGGGAGTGCGCGGTTGGTTAGCTGCTAGCTTTCGTTCGCTCGCTCACTCGCTCACCACCACCACCACCACTGTCACTGGAGCTCACCACCACACCGACTCTACCGTACTTGCACCGTCGTACCTGCGCAGTGGCACCGCTACACGCGCCTTTTCACCCTTCGCCGGGGGTGAGAGAGAGAGTAAGAGAGAACGAGAGGGAGAGCGTGTGTGCGTGTGTGTGTCTGTCTGTCTGTCTGTGTGTCACGTTCGTCCACGTGAAGGCCAAAACCCGCAACGGCGAAGCGGAAAGCGTCCTCCTCTTCGCGCACGGGCTTGCACGGGGCTTCTCCCGGCCCGACGACGACGCCGAAGATAACAACAACGACGATGACAGTCCTCCGTCGCGTTTCCAGCCGCGCGACCACCGGAATTAGTCTCTGTGGAAGTTCCGAGAGCGCCGACTGGACGCGGTGATCGAGCGTAATCGCTCGGACAAGACTCGACGATCGTCCTCTTCTCGCGTAGCTCGGCGCGACTCTTCACTTTCTCGTACTTTCCGCGCGACGACAGTCTCACCGTGAGAGGACCCGCACGAGGACTGTTCGGGGGGCGGCGTTCGTGTTCGCCGCGACGATAACCTATCTCTCTCTCTCTCTCTCTCTCTCTTTTCTCCTCTTCTTCGTGGCTCGGAAGCGCCGAGCACCCTTCTGCGTGGCGAAGTGACAAGAACCACCCCTCAGCCGGCCGGCTAAGCCACCACCGGAGTCACCATCAGCGGGCGCGTTTACGTTCAAGCTACGTGTGCGTGTGTGCGGGCGCGCGCGTGGGCGAACACGGACGTCGCTTGCCACCACCTACGAATACAACCAACGCGGACACCAGCACCACCACCACCACCACGACGTGCACGATCACCACTACTATTACTACCACCGCCACCACCACCACCACCACCACCGCCACCACCACCGCCGACGACGACGACGACGCTGCCGCCGCCGCCGTCACCACCGCCTTCTCCACCACCGCCTCCGCCGCCGCCGCCGCTGGCGTCAGTCAGCTTTCTATCGATTTTCCGATACCTCGTGACCAACGTAGCTCGATGCGCAGCCGATACTTCGAGCATAAACATCGACTCGCGCGTCACCTGCGTCCGACCTCGACCCAGCGCGCGCGGAACTAGGAGGCAGCTTCCGATTCGATCGACGCTCTCGTCTATCTCGGAAAATGGATAAAACACAGCTAGGCGGATGTCGGCGCACTTCGCGGAAGTCTCTGCACTCCCCCGGGAAAGTCGCTTGTCCCGAGAAAAAGTTCACACGACGCGGCACTCCTCGTCCGGTTCGATGCACTGGCAAAGTCCCCGACACACCGGCGGGCGATCTTCATGGGAAGATCGGCCTGGACTTCTCCCAAGTTCCGGGCGAACTTGCTTTTTCCTCGGAACTGGGTCGCGGTAATTCCGGCGGCGGAAGTTATCCCGTGGAAACGCGCGAACTTCCGACTGCGGCTGCCCTTCTTCTTCTCCTCCCCCTCCTCTTCCCTCCGCGACCTTCTTCTTCCCCCGATCGGTTCAGTCGTCCTCACCGGGTCGATCGTCGAATCGATACACCGTGCCGAGCAGCCCGGCGAGGCCCGCGGTCTTCATCCCCGCGGTCTCGTGGGCGCGCGGGTGCCCTTGAAGTCGCGTTGCCGATTTCTCTCTCTCTCTCTCTCGTTCCCTTTCCCCTTTGTTCGCAGGATGATCCTCCGCTTCAGGATCGAAACGTCGATGCGCCGATGCGCGCGTCGTCCATGACGCGCCGTTGCAGCGCTCGCTCGCACCAAGATGTCCTCCTCTCAGAAGCAGACGCACTCGAGGCCGCAACGATCCGCGACGATAACTCGATCGAGCGACACCGTAGGTGGAATCCGTGCTCCGGGGTGGCAGAGAGGGGTCGTCCGATTGGTCGGCTCAGCGTCGATACGGAGATCAATGGCCGCCCGATAGGTGGTGGAGCGAGGGTGAGAGTGAGCGAGCGAGCGGCTGAGTGTGAGTGAGCGAGTGGGTGCGTGAGCGAGCGAGCGAGCGAGCGAGAGAGAGAGAGAGAGAGGATACACCGAGCGTGAGAGAGCGTGAGCGAGCGAGAGAGAGAGAAGCGAAATCGACTGTTGTCTGCCTGGCTCTTCGCTCGCGATCGATCGGCTCTC